CCTTCCTTCCTTCCTTCCTTCCTTCCTTCCTTCCTTCCTTCTTTCTTTCTTGTTCTCCTCCTCCTTCCTCCCTGCCTGCCTTTCCCCCTACCTCCTCATCCTTTCTTTTTCTTCTTTCTTTTTCTTGCTTTCTCCTTCCTTCCTTCCATCTTTCCTTCCTCCTTCCCTTTCCCCCTTCCGCCTCCTCCTCCTCCTCCTTTTCTCTTTCTTCTTTCTTTCTCCTTTCTTCTTCCAGATTTCTCAGAGTCCACGTTTTTGTTTTAAAACTCTGAAAATGGGGTCCACCCTGCCGATCTTGTATACAGATATTTCTTTTCGCTGTGTAAATAAAAATCTATGGTTTTGTTTGTGTGTGTTTTTGTTGAAAAGCTGCTTGGACAAACCTTTGGTTCAGCAACCTGGATCCCAAAAGGAACGTTTAAAAAACCAACTTAAAGGTAAAAAGCTACATTTAAAAAGAGAGAGAGAGAGAGAGAGAACCTGCCTGCAGAATCTGTCTTACCTCCTGGCCCTTCCTGAAAGTATCTCTCACCTCCGGGTTAACCTCCCAGATGTTTGGGCTAAACGGGGCCACCTTGGACCTCCCAAGGTCTGTAATGATTGATCTCTACTTCAAGTTGGAGAGACGTGAACTTCCTGTTTTAGCCCATAAGCTGCAGCAGGCCAAATCTTCATGGGGCCCCCTGCAAATCCCACTAAAGTTTATGCTTTCTTGCAAAGAACAAGAGCGCTAACGCTGGGAACTCCCTGAGGGTAAAACCCCGGAGTTTGTTGATCAATTTTTATAAGTCTGAGCAGAATTCCCAGTGCGCTCTCCATCTTATCTCTACGGGGAATCTGCAGGGATCGGAAAGGAAGGTTGATGGTTACGATGGTCCCACCAAGCCCGGTTGCACCTTTCAGCAAAAACAAGTTTGCAAATTGATTTTATTTTTTTGTTAGGTTCCCCACCGCTTGAGACGTGTTTGCAAGGGGTCTCCAAACTCGGTAGCTTTCCTGGCTGAGGAATTCTGGGAGTTGAAGTCCACAAGTCTTAAAAGTTGTCAAGTTGGAAGATTTGAGGGATAACAACAGTCAGCCCGGGAATTCGGACTTTCCTCAACAGAGTTGCTTCTCTCCGTTTCTCTGATCCGCACTGCTTTTGGGCATGGCTGCAGATTTTGTGACTTGGCATCAAGGCCAGAAGTGAGCGGCTGCCGGTTCACACTGGTTCAACCAAACCGGTAGGTAAGATTCTGTGCAGTTTGGCTAACCAGCAAATCCCACCACCGGCTGGCCCCGCTCCTGTTCATTTTTTCGGCCTGTTTTATGGCCTGTTTTCCAGGCCATTTTTTCAGCCCCAAAATGGACTGAAAATCCCCTGAAAAACGGCCTGAAAACAGCCAAAAAATAGCCTGAAAGCAGCCCCCAAAACAGTCCAAAAAAACAGCCTGAAACTGGCCAACAACAGCCACAAAAACCCACCCCAAAACAGCCTGAAACCAGCCCAAAACAGCCTGAAACCGGCCAACAACAGCCCCAAAAAACAGCTCAAAAATAGCATGAAACCAGCCAAAAACCGCCTGGAAAATGGGCGGGACCAGCCAGTGGTTAGATTAGCCCCGACTGGCTGACTCCTATCTCTGCCTTTGAAGCAATTGGCTGGGAGGTGAGGTTGGGTGTGATGAGTGATGCTACCCATCCAGTCATATGACCAACCAGCCACGCCGACCCAGTCAGAGAACCAGTTGTCAAAAAATTGGCGGCCCACCACTCTTTCCAAGGTCAACACAAAGACACGCACACACACACACGCACACACACCTGTCCTTCAAGCCAATAGCAAGGAAAGGATTTGATCCGTTTACCCAAAGTCACTCAAAGACAACAGCAGGGAAAGGCTACTGGCGTTAAAAGGAGAGAATGGCCGGCGTGATTCGTCAGTGAAGGAGGGTAGATTCCTCGACTTACAACCACCATTCAACCCATCATTTCTGTTGCTAAGCGAGTCATGGGTTCAGCGCGTTTTGCCGCCATTCTTAAAGGGAATCCCTGCGGGAGGTTAAGTTAGGGAGACGGCAGTTTGAAATCCGCCGACTTGGCTTCCCAGACGGGCAATCATGGGACACTTTGACCGTTATAAATACGAGTCGGTTGCCCAGCGTCCGAATATTGATCACGTGGCAGTGAAGATACTGCAATGGTCGTAAGTGTGAAAAAAACATACTCGCCTTGTTTCAGTGCCGTGGTCACTTTGGTCAGTGAACAAATGGTTGTATGTCGAAGAATGAACCCCCTGATCGTGAGATAGAAGGTGGGGTGGGCCGACCCTTCTTGGAAAGCACACCCCAATTTCTTTGGGTCCCCTGTTGCAAACACACACACACACACACACACACACACAATGTTCCACTGCTCAGCTCCCAGCTGTGCATCATGGGCTCAGCTTCACTTTCCATCCGGCTTTCTGGGGTCCATCTCTCCTCCCCGCTTGCAGCCCCTCCCTTCTCCCCCTACACACACACACACACACACACACACAGAGGGCCCTCTGCTTCCAACTCCAGCAGCCCAGAGGCCCTTATGAGAACCAGATGCTGCCCCCCCCTCCCCCGTCAGAAAAGATAGCCAGGAATGAAGGGCACTTTCCCCCCTCCCCCTCCCTCCCTCCCTTCCCAGTTTAGGGGGAGGGGGGAGGCTGGCTGGGCGGCCTCTCCCTCCCTCCCGCGCCCTTCATTTGGGAGCAGTCCCAGTTCGGCTGCAGTTATTTTAAGGGTGGGCTTGGATGGGTTATCTTATCTCCTCTTTCTCCCTCTCCTCCTCCTCCTCCTCCTCCTCCTCCTGTCTGCAAATCACACTCCCTCCTAGCACTGATGATGTTATCTAGTTGGGTCATGAAACATCTGCAAACAAACAACCGAGTTCAGGGAGCATCCAGGACCCCACAGTCCTCCTCCTCCTCCTCCTCCTCCTCTTCTTCCTCCTCCTCCTCCCCCCCCCCCTCCCCCCCCTCCTCCTCCTCCTCCTCCTCCTCCTCTCCTCCTCCTCCCCCCCCTCCTTCTGACTTCTGAATGCTGTTCTCAGCTCAGAAAAGCTTATAAAAATAATTTCATCCGGGGGACACGCTAGGGTGGGAGAGAGAGAGAGAAAGAGTCAGTCTGGTGCTGGGTTAAAAGATTGGATTAAAGTGCAGAGATGGAGGTTCAACTCTGCAGGCAGCCTCCTACTTACAAGTGGGAGCAGAACTAAGCCATTAAGTGAGAGGCGCCCAATATTAGCACCTTACTTGCTATAGTAAATTAGTTTAGTTTACTTTATTGGCATTGCACCTCGTACAACGAAATTAAGTACCATCTTCAGGGCATATTATTTGACTTTGCACGGAGTCACCAACTTCTCCTCCTTTCGCCCCCCCCCCCCGACCTACCCTACAGGATTTTTGGGATAAAACAAGAGGTCGCGATGTGATGCAGGCTTCACATCTCCCGTTTCCTCCTCTCTCTGGAGGAAAGAGGAGATGCGAAGCGAATGGGTTAAACTGAT